CATGGTGCTGTCGGTGGTGGCCAAACCAAAACACGCACCTTGGTATGTGTTCTTCACCGACGCCATTACCAGCAACAGCGACTCCCACATTTGCTAAATTACACACTTGCCACTGAAAAAGATGTTCCGGTGCAACTACTCGGTTTAGTATTAATTTGATAAAGGGTAAGCCCAACTTTTATACAGAAAAAAAAATCATTTAAAGTTCTCTGAAATCATCAAATTAAGCATATAATGTGCATAGTGTATGAAGTCACTGCCTCCTTTTTGTCTTCTCCTTCCTTCAACAACTATTTGTCTGTTTTGTCTTAAGCGGAAAAGTAAACTTCACAGAAGATGAAGCACGAGGCGCTAATGCAACAAAAGAAGTTTTCCCAAAGCTTCTGATGTACCATTATTATTACTGCCACAGCAAGGCAAATGAGTGACAAGTTCTCTTTCATGTACGGACAAGACCACAAGCTGCTGCCCAGCAAGCCGGATTGTAGAAGCTATGCATAAATAGGTATTTGCGAGTGCGTCAGGACACGCAAACAAAACAGTCGAGATGATATATGTTGCCAAAAGGTTTGATCTTCAGCTAAGTAGAGATTCTGTGGTCTGAAGAACTCTCTCCTCTACTTGCATGACCTGTATACTTGAAACTATAAATTATATATTTCTCTTTGTAAAGGAAGTACGTATTTAATTCAAGCATAAAAGCGACTGTCAGATCACAAAAAGGTTTGTCAGGTGCCTTCAGGAACAAGTGCTGAGATTGAAATTCTCAGGAAACGCAGGCTGAAATACATATTTTGAGGTCAGTGCTTTACTTCCAGCCAAGAACTGCTAACTTCTAGGAAAGCTTTGCTAGCCTAAGCACAAAGCCTGGCAATTTGAAGTCAGGTCTTCAACGACCAACTTTGTAAAGCCATCTGCCTGTTTAGTCGGTATGGAGCCTATAAAGTCGCTTTATCTCATGTGGAGTAATTAAAGGCCAGAAGGGCTACTCCCGCTCCGTCTCTTTCCACATAAACAGTTTGAATCCCGAGAGCAAGCAAACTGACGACTTCTGTTCGCGTTTAAAGCCTCCGCAATCCAAATCTTCTGGAAAGCAAAACCAAGTAACGGATCGTACAGAGGGCCTTACTATGTAATTAGACAAAAAAGACCTGCGGTAAAGTCAACGGGATTTAGCAGCATTTCTAAAGAAAAGCGAGGCCAGGCAAGTGGCTCACCAGACCTCCTTGCCGGGGGGTGACGGCTCGCAAGCCCCGGCAGCCTGCGGAGCGGCTCCCCCCCCCCCCGCGGGGCCCCCCCCCCGCCCCCGGCCCGGGC